TCTATGCGTACTGGTTATCTTTTCATAAGTGGAGATCTTAGAGCTGTTGTCTCTCTATGAGAAGCAATAGGTTAGTACTGAAACTACTAAGCAGAGACATTTGTTGTCAACTACATTTTCTCCTGTATGGTTCAACTTCTACATCTTATTTAATATGTGAATTCATACCGTCTTCTTTGTCTAATTATATGTAACTAGCGTGGCCCCGGCCAGTTGGCCGGAGGAAGGTGAGGTATGAAATTTGATAATGTAATAGGGTGTATAGCTTATTGTTGTATAATTTTTTTTTGGGAAACACGTGATAAAAATAGTGAATTTTAGCAGGAAAGAGACATGAATGATGCAGAGAATAAAAAATCGGCCTTATGAACCAAAATCAGGTACCAGTTACCTTGTGAAACAATATTGTTTCTGGTAATATGATGAGGTGGAGTAAGTTTTATAAAAATCGAATTCCAGAAAATCGAATACAAAATCGCCTATCCCGTCGGTTTTCGGGAAATGAGCATCTCACAATCGTTGCTAGCTTTTACTCGGCCCGTTAGCCGATTAATTTGCTTTATAAATCTTTCATCTTGTCGTCATTGTGCTTTCTGGTTTTTGTCAGGCCATGATAAAATCTAAGGAAATAAAAAACGAACAATACGATTTGGGATAGGAACCGCCGTTGTCGTATCCCTAGAAAATGGTGGTAAATACGGACTCACCTGCCAAACTGGTTTGGATTGAGATTTTTATCGGGTATCAGGGAACCATGTGATTATAAATTAGACTTGATCAAAACGGGCCAAAACTTGAAATTCAGCATGTTTGACCGACACATGCCAAACTATAATTATTCTTTACTTTTAAACTTTCTATTTGAAAATAAAAAAAAATAGTGAAAGAAAAGAGATGACTGCAATTCGCCATTTGCACATCACTTATTCGGGAATAAAACCATAGAAATTCAAAAGGAACTGAAAATGTTTAGGATCGTTTTAATGTTTAAAATAACCAAATAGATCTTTCTGTTTAGTTTTTTACTCACAAATACCAAATGATTCCCTATAAAATACACTATAATTTGATCATTATGATACCAAATAATTATATAATATATATTTGAAATGATAAAAATTGGACTAATTGGGTTGGTCGAGGTTGACCCATTGAATAACTTTAAAATACATTATATTTTAGCCACTAAGATATAAAATAATAGCATAATATATATTATGTCAGAGAAAATAGCTTGTTTTAGAATGTTAAACCAATGATGTTCATTTGTTTTACTTGATGGCCAAATCCCGTGTAGGTCATGCCCATTCAACTCTTTTATTTTATGGTTAGCGGTTAGCCCATTAGATACCATGTATTAGTTTATTGTTAAATTTTTTATTTTTAGCAATAAAAAGAAGTATTGTTTTTGCCTTTTCATATATATTTTATCACCACGGAGAAATAGAAGTGCTCAAAGAAAAAATTGACACTCCTGGACACGTTTAAATTCGCATGTGTACGGTAAGTTGGCCCGTTCCACAGAGGAAAGAGAAAAAATTGTCACTCCCTATTCTACCCTTCCTACAAACGCACATGGAGCATGGAATTTGAAATAGGGGAAGGGTTTTTTCCTCCCTGCTATTATATGTTTTTAATTTAAAAAAATACAACCAATGTACTTAGTGTGATTGGTTATGATCCTTGTTTTTCTTTAAAATGGTGATGGTTCGAATCCCAGTACATGTCTTTTTAGGACTTTGCTACAGTGACATGCACTTTCCGGTCAACCTCTTATCTTACGGTGACATGCACTTTCCGTTTCAGTGTAAAAACAGTTTTATGGTGCCTACTTTGGAATTCATATCTTACTATTGGCTAGATGGAAATTGGAGATTAATGGCTTGTTTTGAAGCTGAAGTGTCCCTCTACACATTAAAGTACTTGCAAGCTCGATAGGAAGTCCAGAAGCCCTGAATCCAATTAGCTAAATTGTTTATTTATAGTTAAATGAGACAATTTGATTCAATTGGATGATTTATAAGTTGCGTGGATTGCTAATTTACTTGGGCCGGTCCAAGTTTTAGCTTCCATGAAGTTGGCCGCGGGATTCCTTTACCGATCGATTTTCCTAATTTTCTTCCTCCCTAGTCCCACCCCTTCCACTCGCAGCATTTTTCTCTCGTTCCCAGCCTTTCATCTGCCGCCACCGTCGTCCGCCGTTCATCGATCCATGGCTAATCAGAAGAAACCCGAATGGCCGAAGCTCCGGTACGGGGATGGCGAGTGCAAACGCTGCCGGGAACTCGATAAGCTGAAGCTGAAACCCAAGCCCGATGACCTCGATTATATATGGCAGGATGACGATTTCGAGGGCGACGAAGAACTGATGCTAAGGGTCATCCATTACAGGAGGAAGCGTAACGTGACCGGTGTAAGTAACTCAACTCATCACCAAAAAAACTGATCAGAATTAATCCACTCCGATTTTCACCATGTTAGGGTTTTCTGAATTTGACTCTTTTTGAATGCGAAGTGTTTCGATGTTGATTGCCCTCCATCGTCCCATTGGGGCCGACTTTACCCACGAGAACATTATTCCATGCGTGTTCGGGACTATGACAAGAGGCTTAAGACGTGCGTAAAATTCGTGATCGACACATACAATGAACAAAAGGTAATGAAGTGGTGGTACTTCGTGGGCACGTACACTAGCTAGCTAGCATACATGCGTGTTAATTAAATTGAATAATGTTTTGTAGGGTCAGGATTTGATCCTACTCAGCATCTTGAACGTATGCATCCAGCGTGTTTGTCGCTATTATATATTCTATGTAACTTTCGAAGGCTTCAACGAGTCAGATGAGAGTAGTAAGAGTTACGTTGGGACTTACCAAACAATGGTGTCTTGTGCGTCTTGGACGTTTGGCGAGTATGAAATTTGCGTCTTCAGGAGGTGTAGTAACTCAACTTGCAAAGGTAAATAGTCGATCTGGTCAATTATTGACTCTTTTATTTTCTTTTCTTAATGATTTGTGCATATAGTTGGTGTCGCGAGTTGTTACCTAATTGCTTCGTAACGAAAGGCATCTTTGTTTTCATAGATGAGGATTTGTTACCACCTGATTCCTCTTACGAAGAAAGAACAAGGATAAAGAAAGAGCTGATGTGGACCTTGGCTTGAGAACTAGATCGGAGATGGAGTCGCTTTCAGAGCTAGCTGCTAATGAGTAATGTCATTGTTTGTCTATGATGAGTAGTGGATATTGTGTGAAAACTGGAAATCTTAGAGAGCTGCTATCTCTCTATGATAAGATCCAGAAGCAAATAGTTCAGTGAAATTATTAAGTAGAGACATTCGTTTACAACGAAAAATGTTCTTTAGCGACGGTTTTACTAGCTTCTAGCGACGATGACAAGAACCATCAATAATTTGATTTCAAAGAGGATCAATCATTGGTAGATTTGGAAACCCTAAATGCCAACTGCATATATATCTACAAAGACCTCAATTTTCGTACTGCTATGCTATAATTACCAACTGTTTCAACAAGTAACAATTAAGAACTGTCCAAAGAAACTTAATTTTCCTGCTGCATGCGTGTAGGCATAAATTGGCTTGCTGGTTTAGTGATGATCACTTGTTGTAAAAGGTACTAGAATGTTCATACTATGTTGCCTCGTTTTCCTAGACTTGTGTCTTGATTTGCTGTTGAATTCTTTTTCTTGGTCGTGTTTGCTGCGCGTTTATTTATCCATGGGTGGATATCCTTGGGAATTGGGATGAATAACCACGTACCCTAAAATTGATGATGCTGACTACTTTTTGTTTTTTGTTTTTTCACTGATATAAAAGATAACTGCTACACAAAATGCTCCATTTAATACACATATATGGGGAGTTCTAGAATACTCAGGGTGAAATTTGGGGTACTGCATACCTTGAGTAAGAAAAGTCTATCCAGAAGTTGAATTGACTGATCTTTCGGACATGATATTATACTCTAACCCATAAAAATCAAAATCTACGTCTTAATTATCTAAATCTTATACCCCAAGATCAATTTAATTAGAAACAATAATCGACGGTTGTGATTCGTCCAAATATAGGTAAAAAAATATCAATGCACCATCTTAGAGTTTATAGTTTATGATTTAGATAATTAGGACATAGGGTTCACTCATTAAGGGTTAGGGTATAGTATCATGCCTAAAAAACCTGCTAATTCGAGGTCTAGATAGCATTTTCATACTCAAGGTATGCGGTACCCCGGATTTCACCCGTGGTACCATAGAAGGCACCATATATAAGCATCCACCGTCTGTCCAGTCATCAAGTTAACTGACAGAGTTAACGGAGTGAACGAAAATGGATATTTCATGTATTTCGATAGTTGTGGATATATTTGTCACAAACCTGATAGTTGTGGATACACAGCTGTATTTTGCCTTCTTTTTATTAAGTTATCTTGATTCTCTTTTTTATGGATTTAGGGCTGATTGCAGGTTTGAGGAGGTTCAAATCGTGTTGACCGGGCTGAATTAGGTTTAATACCATGGGTTTGGATTCAATTAGCATTCTCAACAAAAGGAAAAAAATAAAAAACACTAAAGTGAATGAAACTCACTCCTAATCCAAAACTCGGCAACAATAGGTTCAACACGCTTTGATTGGGTTGAACCAATTTTTTAACAAAATTCACACTTGACACAACATGCCAATTAAAAAGAGAATAAATGGTAAAAAACTTGTAAATATTGGGTTCAGGTCTTTTTGATCAGATGAATTAGATTAGATACATTGGGTTTGAGTTTGATTGTTATTCTCAACCAAACGGAAAAGACAAATAAAAACATTAAAGAAGATAAAACTCACTCCCAACAAAAAACTCTCGACGTTGAGTTCAACTCGCTGTGACTTTGTCGAGACACGTTTTTAAAGAATTCACACTCGACCAAACATGTAATCATAAAAGCGGATAAAACTCACTCTCAATACAAAACTCGTCAACACCGGGTCTAGGTTTAATTGCTATTTGTTGGTGACGATTCAGATGACGAAAATTCGTGGGCGAATTCTGTTGACCCCGGGGAGGATGATGCGGTGGCGTACGTGGGAAATCAGTTCTTGGAGCGCTGAGGGAAAAACCAAAGAAATATTTTCTGATGGCAGATCGGACTTAGCCGCAACCAACATACCACTATTTCCTAGTATTTTGGGAGGGGAGGGGTTAGAGAGATAATTTTAGAGAGAGAGTGAAGAATGGGTTGTGGTGTGAAGAAATGAGAGGGGGGAGGGAGTATTTGTACTCTTCAGACCGCACCCTCCAGGGGCAGTCTGGTAATTTTGCCCTGCCAGAAACTGCACCCTCCCGATGCGTTTTGCAAGGATCGAGGCGCTGACCGCACCTGCCAGCTGCGGTCTTCGATCCTTGGCGCACTGGCGCGGATCACTGATGTGGCAAGCGGTCCGCCGCTGGATCACCGCCTGATCCTGCGGTCTCCAAACCCGCTCCCGAGGAAGCACATACCGCACCTCCAATGTGCGGTTCGTTGGCTGACGTGGCATGGAACGCACCTCCAAGGTGCGATTTAAGGGTAAAACGCACCCTTCAGGTGCGGTTTATTTATAAAACGCACCTTGGAGGTGCGGTTTACAAATAATGGTGCTATTTTTATAATTTCTTTGGACTGGGTGCTATTTTTGTAATTTTTTTAAATATGTGCTATTATTGGAAAAATCCCCTCCATATATTGCTTGTTGTGTAGCTTAGAAATGTCCCAGCAAGATCACCACATGGTAGCATACATATGATATACTTTGAGGCTATATATAACAAGAACACATGCAAGCCAGAGTAGTTAAATTAAACTTATCATAACAATAACACATGCGACTCCTTGGCTGAGTCTAAAACAGTTAAATTAGGGTTTTATTCATAGGTGCCTACATCTTATACATGGCACAAAGGTTGTCAACCCGCGGGTTGACCCGGACCCGATCGAGCTAGTGGGTCAAGGGTTAATGGGCTACCCGTTTTAGCTCGGTTTAGCCCGGAAATATAGAAGTAGTCATTATATTGTACTTATCCTCATAAATTATATCAAATCTCATCTAACATATGAGTTATAACATATAATATTCCTCCAAAATAACATGTCGTACTTAGATTCAACATATAGTGAAAATTCACACACGCTTATATAACATTAATATTCAAATGTTCAACTTAGAATTCCAAAGATTGAGTTAGGCGAAAAGAAAAATCGAAAAATAGACGCATTTCCCAAACCAAAGAAAAAAATGACAAAATTTGACGTCCAACCCGGTACCTTGTAACGGTCGACCCAACGGGTGCGTGCGTCTCATTTTTCTCACCGAGCCAGGTCAAAATGGGACAACATTGCATGGCACTCATGCTCTCTCCGGGCTAAATTTGAATTCTGAACCTTTCTTAGATTAATCGGTGCTACAAGGTTCTTATTGCTTGCTCTTCTCAACCCATTTTCCCCCGAGTCTCACTCCTACACTCAGTTAGGCTAAAAAATTATTAATTTTGAACTTCTAGCCTTTAGATGAGGATTGTGATATACACTTCATTGGTTTAAGAGAGAACCAATACCTAAAAGAAAAAATGAGGAATAAACTAATAATTATGATGTTATTAAAAATTAAAAATTTAGCAAAGTCACACATATGACAATTTGCCTCAAACAGTAAACCTTAAAATAAAAGAGAAAAATGAAGAAACTGAACTTTTATACACGCAACCATCTTCCTAACTAAAAACAATAATATAATAATTAGTTTTAACCGAATGCTTTTGATGGATATAAGATTCTTCCATTGACAAACCGAAATGCCAATTGCTTTTGATGGATATACGATCCTTCTATTAGCAAAGCAAACGATCAGAATTAATTTGAAACAGATTGCTCGACGGAGGAGCTTTGGAGCTAAAGCCGAGAGGTAATTATCGAGCATGGACATAATTCACTCTTCAGTGAATCTTGAACAGTATTCATGGAGAATTGGAGATGGATACATTTCGCGCTTCTCTCTGCATTCATCGAGCGTCCAGCCTACCAGGAACAAAAGTTTTGAGGCCCACAAAAGCATTCAGCCCATGAATATGAACGCAAAAAAGAAACACAATAAAAGAGCAAAAGCCCACAAAAGCATTCAGGCAGGGGGTGCTTGCCCAGAATCTCTTTATATGCTTATTGCTAACTTACTTGGGCAGGGCAGGTTTTAGGTTTCATTAAATCGGCTGCGGGATTCCTTTGCCCATCGAATCATCGATTGTCTTCATATAATACTCGCACGCACTCGGAGAATTTTTCTTCTCGTTCTCAGCCTTTCATCTGCCGCCGCCGACCGCTGTTCATCGATCCATGGCTAATCAGAAGAAACCCGAATGGCCGAAGCTCCGGTACGGGGATGGCGAGTGCGCACGCTGCCGGGAACTCGATAAGCTGAAGCTGAAACCCAAGCCCGATGACCTCGATTATATATACGAGGATGACGATTTCGAGGGCGACGAAGAACTGATGCTGAGGGTCATCCATTACAGGAGGAAGTGTGAGGTGACCGGTGTAAGTAACTCATCGATCGTCCAAACTGACCATAACTAATTAACCACTATTTTCTCCCTGTAAAGTTTTCCTGAATTTGATTCTTTTTGAATCGCAGCGATTCGATGTTGATTGCCCTCCTCCAACATCACATTGTGCTTCAATTTACCCTCGAGAGCATTATTCTATGTGCGTTAGGGACTATGAAAAGCGGCTTAAGATGAGTGTAAAATTCGCGATCGACACATACAATCAACACAAGGTAAAATTCGTGATCATATGTACTTAGAGATATATACACCTACGTACACTAGCATACATGCGTGTCAACTGAACTGAATAATGTTTGCGCGCAGGGTCAGAACTTGATCCTACTCGGCATTTTGAACGTATGCATCCAGCCTGCTTCTCGATATTACATATTCTATGTAACTTTCGAAGGCTTCAATGAGTCGGATGAGAAGAGTGCGAGGAAGAGTTACGTCGAGACTTACCAAACAGTCGTGTCTTGTGCATGTTGGATGTTTGGCAAGTATGAAGTTTGCACCTTCAGGAAGTGTAGTAACTCAACCGGCAGAGGTATGTGTGGTCAATTGTTGAATATTTTTTTTTGTTTTATTTGTTTTTGTGAATGATTTATGCAGATGGTTGGTGTCGATTTATTCGTAACAAAAGGCGTATCTCCTTTCGTAGATGAGGATTTGTTACCACCTAATTCCTATTACGAAGAAAGCACAAGGGTAAAGAAAGAGTTGATGTGGACCTTGGCTTGAAAAATCGGAAGAAATAACGCTTTCAGAGCTAGCTGCTCTACTGATGAGTAATACTATGGTTTTGTCTATGCGTACTGGTTATCTTTTGATAAGATAAGTGGAGATCTTAGAGCCAGTGGCGGATCCAGAATAGGGTGGAGCACTGAGTCACATTAGAAAAAAGGCGAAAAGTACTCGGCCGTAACTCCAACAAACACAATAATAAATACCGGAAATCGAAAATTTACAAGGACATAATAGCTATGGATCTAGGGGAGGGCTGGGCCATGCCCCCCCCCCCCCCTCCCGATCCGCCGCTGGTTAGAGCTGTTGTCTCTCTATGAGAAGAAAATAGGTCAGTACTGAAACTAGTGGCGACTGACTGAGGTCCTTCAAATTTTTAAGACGTTTTAGTATCTAATGAACTTTAAGTTGATTAGTGTCATTACATAATCTAACATCAACAAAAGTATGGGGTGCTAAATACTAAGAATCATACTAAACCCTACATATCTAAAGGGTTTTGTTACCCCATTTTTCCCAAGTGGGGTCCTAGTACCCCTCTCGCTGAAACTATCAAGTAGAGACATTTGTTGTCAACTACACTTTCTCCTGTATGGTTCAACTTCTACAACTTATTTAATACTAGCAAGGAAGCCAGCACTACGCGGCGGGCTGTGAATTTCGTCATAGATAATCACAGTTATGGCACCTTCCATCAGTCTCAACCCTCTGTTTTTCTTCTAGGAGCTCTCGTAAATTAGCACCAACACTCAACAAAAAAAAAAATTATGAGTGGAGCATCAATAACCCTCCAAGTACCTCTGTTCACAACCCTTGCAATGACATGGCAAGTTTCAAGTTAGCTTGGTCTTTCTCCTCTAACGTTTGATAAACCCGAGTGGTGGAGACTGGAGACCCAATTCAATAACACAAAACTGGATAAAAAAGATGGTGTGACCAAATTAATTAATAAAAAGCCGTGAAAGAGTTGTACGATCGTCATAGAGAAGAACGATCACAATAAATAAATGTTCGATCCACATTTGGATGCCTTGGTAGCTAGTGTCTCATATGAGAGTGGAAGCTCTCTCTCAAAACCGTGCTTCGTGGTCCTGCAAACAAACAAATAACATGCTTTACTTAAGCCTCATCTTCATACACAATCGCTTAATCGGCCAAAAAAAGGGCAACTAGTTTGAGAGCATTAAACTGAAATTGAAAACACCACAACAACCAACTGAAAAAAATGAAAAGTGTTGCGGTTGGTATCTGGAAATTCTAGTAAAGAGATGCCTCATTGTTAGGGATGGCATTTATAGCCGTAACCGCGGGTATTCGACCCTACCCAACTCGGTCAATGAGGGGAATCTCCGCATTGACTGGGTATGGGGCGGATACAGATAATACCCACAAAGAAGTTTGTGGGTATGGGCGGGGATGGATTTGAGTGCCTCCGCCCCATACCCATACCCATATTCGCCTCATCATTACATATGTCATATATTATAAACTATAATTATTGTAACGTAGGAGTTGTAGTTGGCAATTTTTATGTTCTTTCATCATTAATATACTTTTTTTGGTATAATGATTAAGGGCTAATACCACTAGGAAACCCGAACTATTAACTTTGTGTCATTTGTGTCCTAAAGTATTCGATATGACATTTGTGTCCTAAACTATTTTTCCGTTAGAGTTGACTAGCGTTGACCGTTAGTTTTTAAACAGAAAATCTAGTCAGTGTTTATGTGGCATCTGACATGGACATTCTGTTATTAATTTTTCATAAAAAAATAAATAAACTAACAGAAATAAAATAAAAAAAATCTCTTGGTCTCCTCTCTCCTCACTCGACCCCGCTTACCCTTCATCTCGCCGCCGCCATTGTCGGCGAAACCTAGAAAAAAATTTCTTGCCATGGGGTGTCTCAACATATTCTACGTAACTTTCTAAGGCTTCAATGAGTCGGATGAGAAGAGTGCGAGGAAGAGTTACGTCGAGACTTATCAAACAGTCGTGTCTTGTGCATGTTGGATGTTTGGCAAGTATGAAATTTGCACCTTCAGGAAGTGTAGTAACTCAACCGGCAGAGGTATGTGTGCTCAATTGTTGAATATCTTTTTTGTTTTATTTGGTTTTGTGAATGATTTATGCAGATGGTTGGTGTCGATTTATTCGTAACAAAAGGCGTATCTCCTTTCGTAGATGAGGATTTGTTACCACCTGATTCCTATTACGAAGAAAGCACAAGGGTAAAGAAAGAGTTGATGTGGACCTTAGCTTGAAAAACCGGAAGAAATAACGCTTTCAGAGCTAGCTGCTCTACTGATGAGTAATACTATGGTTTTTTCTATGCGTACTGGTGTATCTAATGAACTTTAAGTTGATTAGTGTCATTACATAATCTAACATCAACAAAAGTATAGGGTGCTAAATACAAAGAATCATACTAAACTCTACATATCTAAAGGGTTTTGTTGCCCCATTTTTCCCAAGTGGGGTCCTAGTACCCCTCTCGCTGAAACTATTAAGTAGATACATTTGTTGTCAACTACACTTTCTCCTGTATGGTTCAACTTCTACAACTTATTTAATACTAGCACGGAAGCCGGCGCTACGCGCCGGGCTGTGAATTTCGTCATAGATAATCACAGTTATGGTACCATCCATCAGTCTCAACCCTCTGTTTTTCTTCCAGGAGCTCTCGTAAATTAGCACCAACACTCAACAAAGAAACAAATTATGAGTGGAGCACCAATAACCCTCCAAGTACCTCTGTTCACAACCCTTGCAATGACATGACAAGTTTCAAGTTAGCTTGGTCTTTCTCCTCTAACGTTTGATAAACCCGAGTGGTGGAGACTGGAGACCCAATTCAATAACACAAAACTGGATAAAATAGATGGTTTGACCAAATTAATTAACCAAAAGCTGTGAAAGAGTTGTACGATTGTCATAGAGAAGAACGACCACAATAAATAAATGTTTGATCCACATTTGGATGCCTTGGTAGCTGGTGTCACATATGAGAGTGGAAGATCTCTCTCAAAACCTTGCTTCGTGGTCCCTGCAAACAAACAAATAACATGCTTTACTTAAGTCTCATCTTCATGCACAATCGCTTAATCGGCCAAAAAAGGGTAATTAGTTTGAGAGCATTAAACTGAAATTGAAAACACCACAACAACAAACTGAAAAAGAATGAAAAGTGTTGCGGTTGGTATCTGGAAATTCTAGAAAAGAGATGCCTCATTGTTAAGGATGACATTTATAGCCGTAACCGTGGGTATTCGACCCTACCCAACTCGGTCAATGAGGGGAGTCTCCGCATTGACTGGGTATGGGGCGGATACGGATAATACCCGCAAAGAAGTTTGTGGGTAATGGGTGGGGATGGATTTGAGTACCTCCGCCCCTTACCCATAAACTCGACCCATTGCCATCCCTACTCATTGTTTCATATCTTAATAATGATCATAAGAACGAGGGCACTGACAGTAGGGTGTTAGCATCTCTCTAGTTTGTTCATGATTATTATATAGAGTCATTATAGATTAATTAAGTCATTAAATCGTCATGTTTATTAAAGATACATGACGATTTAATCATGAACATGACGATTTAATGACTTAATTAATCTATAATGACTCTATATAATAATCATGAACAAACTAGAGAGATGCTAACACCCTACATAAGACAAACATAAACCTTTTGATTTTCGTCTTTCGAGGAGAATTTGTAGGGGAAATAGCTAACAGGCTGTGAAAATTTGAAAACACTGCGGGGAACAAAAACTAATTCTAAGCATCAACTAAACAAACACCAAAATGAAAAGAAGATGATAAATGGAACATTAAAGGCTCTTACCCAAGCAAATCACAATGCAATGGCTGGACTAAATGGCGGCACTTGAAGAACACACCTTTTGCCAACAGACTGCAGTTTTGGCTAGTGGATAGTAACTTGCGATTTATGAGTTAGAATGACATGATGAAAGACATCCCAAGTGACATATAATCAATCGATGTTCAAGTAAGACTATGCATGTAGATATCCTCTATGACACGAAAGATATCCCAAGTAACATGTAATCAATCGATGTTCAAGTAAGACCATGCATGTAGATATCCCAAGTAACAGGCTGTGAAAATTTGAAACCACTGCGGGGAACAAAAACTAATTCTAAGCATCAACTAAACAAACACCAAAATGAAAAGAAGATGATAAATTGAACATTAAAGGCTCTTACCCAAGCAAATCACAATGCAATGGTTGGACTAAATGGCGGCATTTGAAGAACACACCTTTTGCCAGCCGACTGCAGTTTTGGCTAGTGGATAGTAACTTGCGATTTATGAGTTAGAATGACATGATGAAAGACATCCCAAGTGACATATAATCAATCGATGTTCATGTAAGACTATGCATGTAGATATCCTCTATGAAACGAAAGATATCCCAAGTAACATGTAATCAATCGATGTTCAAGTAAGACCATGCGTGTAGATATCCCAAGTAACAGGCTGTGAAAATTTGAAACCACTGCGGGGAACAAAAACTAATTCTAAGCATCAACTAAACAAACACCAAAATGAAAAGAAGATGATAAATTGAACATTAAAGGCTCTTACCAAAGCAAATCACAATGCAGTGGTTGGACTAAATGGCGACACTTGAAGAACACACCTTTCGCCAGCCGACTGCAGTTTTGGCTAGTGGATAGTAACTTGCGATTTATGAGTTAGAATGACACGAAAGACATCCCAAGTGACATATAATCAATCCATGTTCATGTAAGACTATGCATGTAGATATCCTCTATGACACGAAAGATATCCCAAGTAACATGTAATCAATCGATGTTCAAGTAAGACCATGCATGTAGATATCCCAAGTAACAGGCTGTGAAAATTTGAAACCACTGCGGGGAACAAAAACTAATTCTAAGCATCAACTAAACAAACACCAAAATGAAAAGAAGATGATAAATTGAACATTAAAGGCTCTTACCCAAGCAAATCACAATGCAGTGGTTGGACTAAATGGCGACACTTGAAGAACACACCTTTTGCCAGCCGACTGCAGTTTTGGCTAGTGGATAGTAACTTGCGATTTATGAGTTAGAATGACACGAAAGACATCCCAAGTGACATATAATCAATCGATGTTCATGTAAGACTATGCATGTAGATATCCTCTATGACACGAAAGACATCCCAAGTAACATGTAATCAATCGATGTTCAAGTAAGACCATGCATGTAGATATCGTCAACGACCCATGAAAAGTGAACTGACATCAGACTAATGATACTATGGGTAAGTATATACTTATTATAGGGATCAGTTAAAATAACTCTTCCTCTATCATATTCATCAACAACTAAAAGGACAAATGGACATAAAAGACCCTTTTGGGGAACATTGTAATAGTCGTGCATCATTCTTGCATGAGATCAAGCACTGATCGCTCATAATTTCAGTCTGGCTCTCTGAATCTTTTATTGGTATAGCAGCAATACAATCATACGAAATATGGATTCTGTTCATGCAAAGAAAACGGTTATCACCTAAGTCTCCGTTGCTGGAACCATCACCGGCATCTATTGCCGACCTTCCTATTATCAATGCTATCTTCCTTTCTTAGTACGGTAGTTGTTTCTTCGCCCAATTCGGGAGATGGGAGATTGTGAAAGAGAAAGAGACAGGAGAGAACAATCGAGGTGGATGTTTTTCCCCTTCTTCCTCCTTCCCGATCTTCCCCTTCCCGTTAGAGAAAGGGAAAGATCCAGATGGATGAAACAGATGGAAGAAAATTTGTGACTTTGATTATGGAAGAGAGGAAACACATAAGGAATTAAGGAAGGAAAAAAAATGAAATTAAAAAAGTCCCACTGATTTGACCCATAATTAAAAGAGGGCATAAATTATTTTATTTGAAAGGCGGACAATCACAAAAATCTAATCCTTTTTTCAAAATTTTAATGTCCCCATTGATTTGGTATCCATGCAACCTACCTGATCTTCTCCTTCCCGTTAGAGAAAGGGAAAGATCCAGATGGAAGAAAATTTGTGACTTTGATTATGGAAGAGAGGAAACGTATAAGGAATTGAGGAAGGAAAAAAAATGAAATTAAAAAGTCCCGTTAATTTGACCCATAATTAAGATAGGGCATAAAATATGAAGGTTTTCACTTCTCAAACTTAAAGATGGCATAAATTCTTTTATTTGAAAGGCGGACAATCACAAAAAGTTAGTCCTTTTTTCAAAATTTTAATGTCTCCATTAATTTGCCTCTAGTCTCTAGAGTTAGTATCCATGAAACCTCTCTACAATTAAAAAAGGGCATAAAAATTTATCCTTTTTTTTTTCAAAAATTTTAATGTCCCCATTGATTTGCTTCTAGTCTCTAGAATTGTATCCATGCAACTTCTCTACAATTAAAAGAGAGCATAAAATTTGAAGGGAGAAACCAGCTAACCATGGCAAGCAAGAAATGGCAGACAAAAACAATGGAAAACAATCCCCATTGATGATAAATTTATTTTTTAATAACCTATTGATTTGACCCTAATAAACAGTAACCTTAAAACCTCTCTTTTTTTAAAATTTTAGTGTCTCCATTGATTTACCTCTAGTCTCTAGAATTGTATCCATGCAACTTCTCTACAATTAAAAGAGAGCATAAAATTTGAAGGGAGAAACCAGCTAACCATGGCAAGCAAGAAATGGCAGCTAAAAACAATGGGAAACAATCCCCATTGATGATAAATTTATTTTTTAATAACCTATTGATTTGACCCTAATAAACAGTAACCTTAAAATCTCTCTTTTAAGTATATAATAATAATAATAACAACAACAATAATAATAATGATGATGATGATGTGAATTCATACTGTCTTCTTTGTCTAACTATATGTACTAGCTATTTAGCCCGCGTTCTACAAAACGACCTAGCTATTTGGTGTTTGGTTTGTGTGCTCTTAAGATTCTATTTAGATTTAATTTTTTTAGAGTTTCAAATTACTTCGTTGTTTATGGTTATTTACTAATATGTCATGGTTTTCAAAATATTTGACTCGTGGATACACGATTTAAAAAGAAAAAAGCAATTCTAGAGGCATACTCATGTACAAAGTTTCCCTCCTCCCAAATACTAACTGCTTTGATTTGGATTCAAAACAGATAATATCTTGATCTAAAAAAGATTTGAGATGTTACATGAACAGTGTACAAACTATAAATACCAAAAGGACAAAAACAAAAAGAACGTCTCCCAAAAATACTACGTATGGACTGTGAATTAAAAAGGTTCAAAATGACCAAAGTTCCCCGCCGAACTTTACTTTCATAGCTTCATTTTTTGAATGGTGAAAAGTAGAATCTTAAAATGTACTATGGGTCGTTTTGATGGAACAATTGGGGCATGAAGCAATTTGACCCAATTGTCTCGTTTTAAAAGATGAGTATTTATCTGAGGCATTTGTCTGAAATTATCTTATTTGGTTAGTATTTGGGATGAGAACATGAAAATGAGACATTTTGTCCAAATTACACTTTTACTCTTCTTTCTCTCTATCTATCGGTAAACCATCAGCATAAAAAAATTCTCAGATCATTAACGTCTTCATTACCATCGTCATGCATAGTAAGATCATCCATCCTTCCACTAACCACTACTAATTAGGATTCAATCAACGCAAACAATTTGAATTGCCCCGAAATAAACCAAATACAATTTCCCCAAATCCAATTGCTTCATCCACCTTCTTTATGGCTAAATCTACACAATAAATAAAAGTCAAATGAAAAAACTTGAAGTCTCATTTCAAATTTCCAGCATCCAGACTGAAAGTAAGAAGGACATTTTGGTCTTCACAATTACTTTTTTTTTATTCATTAAAAAGACACTTACTAGGATTCGAACCATAACCACTTTAAAGAAAAGCAAAGACCATAACCAATCACACTAAGTATATTTGTTGTATCTTTTTAAATTAATATATAATCGCAGAGAGGAAAAAACTCTTCCCCCATTTCAAATTCCGTGCTTCAAGAGCGTTTATAGGAAGGGTAGAATAGGGAGTGTCAATTTTTTTCTTTTTCCTTTGTAGAACGAGCCAACTTACCGTACACATGCGGATTTAATGGGTCCTGGAGTGTCGATTTTTTTCTTTAAGTCCTTTTATTTCTCCGTGGTGGTAAAATATATATGAAAAGGAAAAAAAATACTCCTTTTTATTGCTAAAAAGAAAAAAATTTAACAATATACTAATGCATGGATTCTAATGGGCTAACCGCTTATCATAAAATAAAAGATTTGAATGGGTATGACCTACACGGGATCTGCCCATCAAGTAAAACAAATGAACATCATGGGGTTGTCATTCTAAAACAAGCTATTTTCTCTAGCATAATATATATTATGCTATTATTTTATATCTTAGTGGCTAAAATAAAATGTATTTTAAAGTTACTCAATGATTCAACCTCGACCAACCCAATTAGTCCAATTTTTATCATTTCAAATATATATTATGTAATTATTTGATATCATAATGATTAAATTATAGTGTATATTATAGGGAATCGTTTG